GGAAGGAAGGAAGGAAGGAAGGAAGGAAGGAAGGAAGGAAGGAAGATTTCACGCCCCTTTAAGTAAAATGAAATCTCCTCATGGGTCAGCAAGTTTGAATTCAATTCTAGTATTTCAAATAATTAGACAAAGATAGTGGAACCAAGTCCTTTTATATTTCAATGCTATTTTTTTTTCTCTTATTTCCTTATGATTTCAATTATATCTCAGGGTCGCATCTTCCGAGATATCACCTTACCTGAAGTAAGCCCAGCAGAAAGATCTGCTTTGTATATAGCAATAGTAGAAACTCTTGCAAAGCTGCATTCCTTCAATGTTAATTCATTAGGCCTCCAGGATTATGGACGAGGAACAGGTTACTGTAAGAGGCAGGTAAATATTTCATAAATCCTTTCCCATTCTGTCTACTCTTTTATATTGTAAATATTGCTGGTCTAAGACCGTAGTAAAGTTATATTCATTCTATTCATTCATTCTGTCTACTCTTATGATTTTCTTAGTGAAAAATAAGTAATTGAAAAGTACAGAGACACTTGCTATTTACAGATTGAAAATTTTGATGCTTTAAACTTTGTGGTCTTAAATAAAGTTATTAGCATTTAAGGAGATATGAAATATTGGATGATGTTCAGTGTTGTGAAGCATTTTACTGACTTCTCACAATAATTACATTAGTACAGTAGTTAGGAAAAAAAACAGCCCAAAAGGTGAAATGCTAAGGAAGTGGTTGTTAATTTTTGTTTGTACAGCCGTGATGGCGAACCTATGGCAAGCTGCTGTCACCAGCTGCTATTCTGGTTTCTGGTGTGCACATGTGTGCCAGTCAGCTGGTCTTTGCGGGCACTGGAATACCGGAAAACAGCTTAAAAATGGCCAAAAACAGGCCACTTTTTGGGCCGTTTTCAGGCCTTTTTCCGGGCCATTTTCAGGCCATTTTTCAGGCTGGAAAATGGTCTGAAAATGGCTGAAAAATGTCCCCAAAATGATCAAAAATGCCCCCAAAACAGGCAGCTGGTCTTCGGGGTTCTGGCGTTTTTGGCATGCGCACATGCATGTGAATGCACACGTTCCGGTTTGGCCACTTGGTGCTGAAAAGGTTCTCCATCACTGGTATATAGGCTGTAGTGAGGAACAGAAAGTAATTCCAACAGAGATGAAAACATAAAAATGGCAGCACACCAATAATAGCAATTCAAATAATTGGAAATTGTTTAAATGACAGTTTAGTGAATGTGTTATTCCAAGGGTTCTTCTCAAAAATCAAGGTCTCTTTCACTCACTTCAGACTAATTTTGATTATGGTTTGCTTTTAGGTATCAACTTGGATGAGGCAATATCAGGCAGCTGCTCATATCCAAATTCCAGTTATGACCGAATTATCCGAATGGTTAATGAGCAATTTACCTGATGATGATGATAATGAAATTACTTTGATCCATGGTGACTTTAGAATAGATAACATCATCTTTGATCCAAGAGAGGTATCTTGAAATAATGCAGACAGCATTTTCAAAGTAGCTTCTTCTATTTCTTTTTGTGACAGCCTTTTATTGTTATAGTGTATAATAATAGAATCTTATAAGTGTCAAAATTTCCCTCTACCTACATTTAATACTAAACAAAATCAGGAGAGGAGTTTTTTGAGTTTCTCAGCCTTTTTTTCTTCTTTCCTAAAAATAAGCTTCCTAAAACAGAGTAATCTTTTCTGGACCTCCCCCTCTTCTCTTAATGGTTTGTTCATTCATTCTCCATGCCAAAATTATGTGCCATCACATCAGACTGCTAGGAATGTAGTTAAACAACTTTGGGAGTGTTTGAAGTGTGAATTAAATCACCTTGCATAAGCAACAAATTATGCAAACCTACAGAATAAATTAACAAGAGTCATATCTCAATATCTGAACTAATATATGCTTGAACAATATTATTCTATGAAATTATAGTGCAACACATACAGAAACAGATCTGAAAATAGTAAGATCTCTTCGTCTATCAACTCCTTGGCATATCAGCATATCATATAGGGTAAAATGCATTTTCCAGTCAATAGTGCATTTGTATTTTGCGGTATTCTAATGGATCTATTTTAAAACAAATGCCAATAGTATTTGTAGAGTAATGAATAATCCTAATACATTTTAAAATCCTGTTGATTGAAAGATTATGCTAGAGACAAAATGAAATATGTACTGCATTTATCCCTATAGTTTAATTCCTACCCTTTATTTAGTACTAGATCACTGTGAAATCAGAATTAGTTTCCAAGAACTTTAACATTTTATCTTTAACTTTGAAATGGCTAAAAGGACCAAAAGATTTTAGGTTTAAGCCTGCTCGCCTGCCTCCACTAGTAATCATCACATTATTTATTAGACATACTCTGCAGCTGTTGGAAGCTAAAAACAATTGTAAAAATGTAGTGCAGGCTCAGTAAAAAAAATGAATTCAGTAATTTGACAATAGCAGTAAACCATAATATTTCTTGTGTGTGATTCTAGGTGCTAATTTCCCCTTCTGTAAAACAGGATTAGAGTCTATTATCCTTCTTGCATATTTTTGAAGAATAGCTACATGAAATGTTCCTATTAGAAATTAGAAACGCTTGGAGTATCTTTCTTATCAGTTTTTTTTTCCTCTCCAATTTGATTTTAAACATTTTTGGTGTGTTGGTTGCTATCATATTCATGTGTTACTAACACATCATTTCTGTATCATCATACAGTGAAGTACTAACATGCTTGAGTTTACTATGCATTATATTTTGTTCTACATATATGCAGGGATGGGATTCAGCTGGTTTGTACCGGTTCATGCGAACTGGATGTTAATTTTACATCCAGTTCGGCAAACTAGTAGTTCCGAAGACCAGCTAGCCCCTCACCACCCCTCCCAGGAGTTCCCACACGCCTGGTTCTGGCTCCCAGGTAAGTGCAGGGAGGCTTTCTAGGCTCAAAATGGGATGCAGCAAGGTGCGGCACCTCCCCCATTTTGGTTCTCCTGATGCTCCAGGGAGGCTTGCTATACCCAAAATGGGGCGCGGAGGGCTGTGATGCACCCCATTTTGGGCCTAGGCCTCCCTGCAGCCTCATGGGAGCAAAAATGAGGTGTGGGGAGGTGCGTTATGCCCCCCCCCCCCATCCTGTTTTTGTGCTCCGGAGGCTGCAGGGAGGGTTACGGGGGCACAGGGAGGGTGGAAAGAAAGAAAGAAAGAAAGAAAGAAAGAAAGAAAGAAAGAAAGAAAGAAAGAAAGAAAGAGGGAGGGACTCCTACAAAAATGAAGGAGTCAATCTATTTTCCAAAGCACCAAAAGGCACAACAAGAAACAATGGATGGAAACTAACCAAAGACAGAAGCAACCTAGGACTAAGGAGAAATTTCCTAAGGGTGAGACCAATCAACCAATGGAATAACTTTCCTTCAGAAGTTGTGGGTGCTCCATCTCTAGAGGCTTTCAAAAAGACTGAGGGAAGTACATCCCAAAAGGACAATGCCAAGAACCACTAAAACAATGCAGAAAACTTAAAACAGCCATTCCCCCTATAGCTTCTTCCTATAGTTGAAAATTCTTTGTTGCAAAAGCATCTTTGTTTTCATGGCCAGATGTGAATTCACAGACCTTCCCTAAAGTATATGATGAGCTTAGAGAAATGGCAAAATAAGAATATATGGAATACACAAGAATCATTCTTACCCTACAGTTGTGAATAGTTAAAAATAGCCCAGTACAGAAATCTGGAGGAGTGGAGCCTCAGCCCTTTGTTTCCTAGTTGATCCTAACACAGTGATATTATATAGTACTATATATTGTGCTTTGGATCTGTAGTCAACCCTTGGTCTTCCACAAAACTGGATCCAGAGGACAAATGGTTTAGTTACCTTGAATATATTCCTCAGTTTCTATCTTTTCTACTCTGTCTTCCAAAATCAGTGATACTTCAAATGTACAGAAATGCATGAACTCCTATAATCAGACTTAGCTACTAAAGAATTCAACTAATGAAGATTTGCATATGTGCTGTGCTTTAATTCAGTCCTTACCAGGACATTGTTTGGTAAAGGGCTGGCTCTGAGAGAGCATAGTTGGTTATCTTTCACTCAGCAGTATCAGAGTGGTGGAAAGCGGGAGGTTGATGTAAAAATCTGTAAGATCACAAGTGTGGCATTGCCTCCCATACCCTCCTCTATGTACATGAATCACCTCATTCAGTTTGTTTGGTGGCAAGAAGCTGACTTCTGAAATTCAGATCTAATGCAAAGGTAACTATTTCGGTTTTGTTTTGCCAATTAGATTAGCAGTAGTCACACAATAGCATTGAGTTATATGCATCCATGTTAATATTCTCAAAAGTCATAACTATAATTCCATGTGTGTAATATGTACTGAAATCATATCACCAGGAGCCTTGATGGCGCAGTGATTAGAACTGCAGTATTTCAGGCTGACTCTTCCCACAACCTGGAGTTCAATCCTGACTGGCTCAAGGTTGTGGGCATCTTTGAAGGTCAGTAAAATTAATACCCAGATTGTTAAGGGTAAGTAAATATGCTGACATTGTAAACAACTCAAGAGAATGCTGTAAAGCATTATGGACCAGTATATAAGTCTAAGTGCTATTGCTATTGCTAAATCACTAAATAGAGCAATCGTATTAAAATTTTCAACTATTTTGTCCTCTTTTAAGTTTTTATTTCTGTCTCTATTTCTAGGCCCGTGTCGCAGCAGTGTTGGATTGGGAACTTTCAACTTTAGGCCATCCTCTTGCAGACTTGGCTTATACTCTTGCTTTTTGCTTTTGGCCCAGAACCCTCAAACCTATAAAAATGCTTAATTTACAGAATGTAAACAGCATTGCTGGTATGTGCTTGTTCTTCTTCTCAGCTATTTCCTTTTTTTAAAAAAGTAAAATGTGAAAAAACATAATGATGGGTTATTCTTACTCCTCCATTTTCCCATTTTAGATATACTTCACCTGCTCTAGGTGTGAGGAAAACAAATTCTTGGAGGAGTGAAAATGTGTTAGTAAAATAGAGAGGGAACATGTGCTAATTACTTCATTAAAAAAGGAACTATGAAGTACCTGCTTTTCAAGAAGCTTTATAAAAAAAATATCTGTGGAAATGTAACTGATGTGTTTCTTTCTATTAAGTCAATAGTTCTTTCTTAAGGAGAGTAACAGTAGGAGAATGGAGAAATACCTTGAAATTAGCTAATTATGAATATCTATGTTTATGTCATCTATTAACTATGTATAAGCAAGACTATCATTTATTTTCTTCTTTCCTGAAATACAAATGCCTTCTTTTGATTGCAGAGTCCCTCTCATTATTTTTTGGATATAATTCCACCAGTGGATTTTGTAAAATAAATAAATAATACAGCGAGCCTTGATTATTGGTTTTTGGGTCCTGCATTTTATTATACAGAAGCTCTCAAAATAACTGAGGACAGAACTTGGTTCAACCACTGTTCTAAAAAGGCTAGGCCTGCAGCTTCCCTAATGAAGCATGACTCTCTAGCTAGATTAGGGAAATTGGCTTAGGAACTTATTATTTTAGAAGAGATATCAGTCTTTTTGTAAAGATTTATTGAATTGGAAGATAGGATTTTCCTTGCAATCATGATTAGAAGGAGTAAATGAAACAAAAACAATCACATAATGGAAATATAGTTGGGTGGATGAAAAAATAATGAACAAAATATATAGCTATTTGTTAACTATTAAATTCGGAAGACAAACAAGTAAAAGAAACAATTATAGTTTGGGCAAGAAACTTTGGATGTATCATAGAGCCGTGATGGTGAACCTATGATACACGTGCCACAGGAGGCACGCAGAGCCATTTGTGCACGTGAGCTGCAGGCAAACTTACCTCACTGCACATGCGCACGCCTCACAGCTGATTTTTGAGGCTAGTTTGAGGCCTTTTTCAGCCTCCCAGAGGCTTGAAAAAAGCCTCTGCAGGCTTTGCAAGCCAAATAATAGGCTCATTTCATCACTTCCTGTAAACACCAGAAGTGATGAAATGGGCCTCAAACCAGCTGAAAATCAGCTGTGAGGCACAGTGCAGGTAAGGGGGGGTATTGCACACGCATGGGCGGGGGGCGCGTGCATTGCTTTCTGAGTGCTGGCGCGCAAGTGCGCACACAATTTTTGGCACAGGAGCCCAAAAAGGTTAGCCACCATTGCCATAGAGCTAGACAAATGGCAAAAACTCTGGAACAGAAACTACAAATTGACCATGGCAATTACCCACCGTGTTTCTCCAAAAAGATGAAAGGAAGCCCTATCACATTTTTTGAGCGCATGTGATCAAATTAAGCCCCACCCACAAAATTAGCACTAATTAAGACCATGCCCAACCCAGGGTGCAAGGGGTGGGGTGAGGCAAACAGATAAAAAACAAGCTGGGGGGGGGGAGGGGAGGTGGAGCTGCCCTACTTACCAGGCCTCGCACACCCCGACATTTGCCTTGCCTTCTGCTGTAGCTGCTTCTTCTGCAGCCGCTTGCTGCCACTCGCACGCATCGCCCTGGCCTCTGTTTCGCCTTCAGATGCCTTCCAGAAAGCTCTCTGCAGCCGATAATAGAGCTCTGCAAATGCCTTCTGGAACGCTCTCTGCAGCCGATAATAGAGCTCCAGACCAATCCGGAGCTCTATTATCAGCTGCAGAGGCTTTCTGGAAGGTATTTGCAGAGCTCTATTATCGGCTGCAGAGGGCTTTCTGGAAGGCATCTGATGGCAAAACGGAGGCTTGGACGATGCGTGCGAGTGGCGGCAAGCAGCCACAGAAAAAACGGGCTAGCAGCAGGCTCCTGCTGGTCGGGTCTGTCAGTGCCACCGCCAAGAGGTGAGTCAATAATTTGAACCATCCAAAAAGTAGGTCTAGCCGTTTTTTCAGTGGTCAAAAGAAAATAAAACCTGCCTTCTTTTTGGAAAAACACGGTATAAAGAAAACCTGTATAAAATTTTCTACCAGCAAGACTAGCAAAGATGTTTAAAAATATGTCCGCTAAATGTTGGAAGTGCAATCAGATACCAGGTTCTTATTATCACGTGACGGAATGTGTAAAAGCAAAAAAAAAATTGCATACATGGTTAGAGAAAATGATAAAGCAACATATAGATGTAAAACCAGAAATATTTCTGTTAGGTATATTACCAGAAACTAATAAAAGGATTACATATCTAATAATATGTTGACAGCAGTGAGAGTTGTATTTGCAAAATATTGGAAAAATGAGGATACACCTACAGATGAAAGTATAATTAGAAAAATATTAGATGAAGATTTGACAATAATAAAGAATAAAGAAGAAATAGAATATTTTTAACATGGGATTTGTTTTATCAATGGTTAGATAAAAGAGGTAGAAATTAGAAGATGAAAGATCACTGATATGTATAAGTAAAGGATGCAAAAATTGGACTATACATAAGTAGTATTAATATAGTTGTTATTGTTATTATTATGTTGTATAAGTAAACTGATCCACACAATACACGGTTTATTAAGTACGTATGTATTTTAAAGAAAAAATATAAATAAAATTCAAGAAAAGAAAAGGTTACAATGTTGAATGAGAAATTTCTCTTTTTAAAAAAATAAACTTTATTGAATTTTTGTTACATTAAAAACATAAAAAATATATCACTCAATAACAGCTCTTTGTGGTGCTTATCATATAACAATCATTTGGTCAATATTTACAGGTATTAATTTGTGCATAATTATATTCTTATTCTATCTATATTCTATATTTAATAATTACCTATCCTTAATCTGTCTCCAATCTATCCAGCTATACCATTGTTTCCATACCTTATAAAATATTGAAGCTTCCTTATCTTTTAAACTCAGCGTTAATTTATCCATTTCAGCACAATTCATAACTTTTTGTATAACCAGTTCCTCTATGGGTGTATATGGCTGTTTCCAACATTAGGCAAAGGCGATCCTGGCAGCAGTCAATATGTGTAATAATAAATATTTTGTGCTCTTTACGTATTTTTTTTTGAAGATCCCCAATAGGAAAAGTTCTGGTTCTAGGTCTAATTGTTCATTGGTGATTTCCTGTAGCCAATTTTTGATTTTGAGCCAATATTTTCGAGCCTCTGGGCAAGACCACCACATATGATAATATGTTCCCTCTTTTTTTTTTACATTTCCAATATATAGGACTCATTTTAGGGTACATTTTCACTAATCTCGAAGGGGGTAAGTGCCACCTATAGAACATTTTATATGCATTTTCTTTGTATGCTGCTGATTTTGTTAATTTGTGATTTCTATTCCATACAGTCTCCCAGTCTGATAACTTTATGTTATGACCAATAGTTTTGACCCCATGCGATCATACATCCTTTCACTACTACTTCTAAATCTACTTTTAGGAGATACTTGTAAATTTTGGTAATATTTTTTTTATCTAGGCCTAATAAGATTTTGTCTTAATTGAGGTTTCAAGTATATTCCATACTCCTTTACGTCCTTTGTATATTGGCTTTGTATTTGAAGATAAGCCCACCAGTCTACTCGTAGCCCTTGTTCTTGGAGCTCCTGTATTGTTTTTAAATTTCCATGTGTATCCAATAAGTCTTTATACTTTAACATTTTGTTCAGGTCTAAATTATTTGGGTGGATCATCTCTTACATTGTAGATAGCCAGATTGGGATTTTTATATAGTGTTTCTTTTTAACTTTGATCCAGTTGTATATCAGCGAATCTCTAATCAGATGTCTGTGGAAATATTTTTGTTTGGTGGGTCCTGTGTCCCAAAGAAAGGCAGGCCATCCTCTCTGAAGATCATGACCTTCTATAGCTAATATTCTTTTATTTTTTAAATTAATCCAATCTTTTAGCCAAACTGATGTTGCTGCACTATAATACAATTCCCAATTTGGCAATCCAAAGCCTCCTCTGCTCTTTATATCTTGTAGTAGTTTCATTTTTATTCTGGGTTTTTTACCCTGCCAAATAAATTTTGCTGTCATTTTATTAAGATTATCGAAAAATGTCTTTTCTAATTTAATTGGAATGGTTTGGAATAGATAAAGAATTTTTGGTAATATAGACATTTTTATGGCTGCTATTCTTCCTAGTAATGACAGTTGCATTTTCGTCCATAATTCTAAGTCTTTTTTTGTTTGTTGTAATAGTTTATTATAATTATTCTCCTTTATCGCCTTACAGTGTGCTGTCAGCCATATTCCCCGGTATTTAATTTTTCTTGTTGTTTGAAGTCCAAGTACTCTTTCTAATTCTATTGTTTGTAGATCTGTTAAATTTTTTACTAAAAGTTCCTTTTTCTGTCTATTAATTTTCAATCCTGCCACCGCTCCATATCTTTCTAATTCCTTAATTAATATTTGTCCTTTTTCTATTGGGTCTTCAATAATAAAAGCCATATCATCTGCAAATGCTTGCAGTTTATATTCTTCATTTCTAGTTTTCAATCCTTTTATTTCAGGATTTTGCCTCACTCTTTCTAATAGTACTTCTAATGATAATATGAAGAGCAGAGGGGACAGCGGACAACCTTGTCGGACTCCTTTCTCTATATTTAAAGTTTGGGTATTTTCTCCGTTTATTATGATATTTACTTTTTGTACTGAATAAATTGCTCTTATAATATTCTCAAATTTGGTGCCGAAATTCATGTCATAAATTTGCTGAATCATAAATTGCCAATTAAGGTTGTCAAAAGCCTTTTGAGTATCTAAGAAAACAAGGGCTATCCGTTTCTCTGGGTGGACTTCATAATATTCCACACTATCCATTATTATACTTAAAATTGTTCCTAATTTGTCTATTTGGGAGAAATCCATTTTGGTCTGGATGTATGTAATCATTCAGAATTTTCTTTAATCTAGTAGCAATAATGGTAGTAAATATTTTATAATCTACATTCAGCAAAGAAATTGGTCTATAGTTTTGTATCATTCTGGCATCTGAGTCCCCCTTCGGGATTAGCGAAATTAATGATTCTCTCCACGTGTCTGGCATTTTAGCAGATAATAATATCTCATTATATAAATCCACCATTATTGGTCCCACTTGTTCTTCTATCGCTCTGTAAAATTCTGCTGGGAAGCCATCAGGGTCTGGGGTTTTGTTACTTTTCTGGGTTCTAATTGCTTGTTTTAATTCTGTCATAGATATGTCCTTCGTCAAAAATTCTTTCATCTCATCGTTAATTTCTCAAGTTCTTTTTTCTCTTAGATATTCCCTTATCTGATCTTCATCTACTCTCTCTTTCTTATACAGTTTCTCAAAATATTTATGTGCAATCTCTTTTTTCTTCTCTATTGTATGTTGATAATTTCCACTTTCATCTTGTAGTTGGTAGATGGTTCTTTTCTCTTTCTCTTTTTTGAGCTTATAAGACAGCCACCTACCAGGCTTGTTTGCTTGTTCAAAGTATATTTGTTTAGTTACTTTCAAGTTTCTATTCAATTCTTTCTGTTCAACTAAGTTGAGTTTATGTTTATAGAGAATCAATTGTTCTTGTAATTTAATATTTTGTGGGGTGTCCTGTAATTTGGATTCTAGTTTCTTGATTGTTTGATATAAATTGTTTTGTTGAGCATGTTTTTCTTTATTTTTTTATGCAGTGTAAGATATTACAATTCCCCCTATGACGGCTTTCATAGTGTCCCATAAATTTTGGATAGTTGTGTCTAGGTTATTATTTTCTTTAAAATAAAAAGTTAGCTCTTCCTTAAGTTTCTTTATAAAATCCTCATCCTTTAATAACCGAGCATCTAAAGTCCACCTTCTCCTTTATTTTTTCTTACCTTTCCAATTGAGGGCTGTGGTCTGCCCAAGAGTTCAGTATAATTTCTACTTCTGTCACTTCTACTAAATCTCCACTCATCCATGCCATATCAATGCGTGACCATGACTGGTAGGGATTTGAATAGAAGGTAAATTGTCTCTTATCTGGGTTTAAGTTTCTCCATACGCCTACTAAATTTAATTCTTTAATCATTTCTATACAAATTTTAGGTAGTTCCCTTTTCTTTTTTTCCCTTCCCTTCTTATTCCTCCCATTATAATCTTTTTCATAATCTGCTACAGCGTTAAAATCTCCTATAATACAAATATTTTTCCTTTCCAGTTCAATGATTTTAGCATATAGAGCTTTATATAATTCTTTTTGATTGGCATTAGGGGCGTAAATTACCACCAATAGATTTTTTTTAAGTTTATCTGTATTTCTATTGCCAGAACTCTTTCTTTGGGATCTGTAAATTTGCCTTTATCTCTTCTTTAATGTAAACTGCTATTCCATTCTTTTTTTCATTATCTGCAGAAGCCGTAAACACTGTCCCTAATTTGGGGCAATCTAGATATTTTTCATCTGTTTTTAAAATGTGTGTTTCCTGTAAACAAATAATATCTGCATTTTGTTTTATCAACTTTGCCAGAATCCTTTGTCTTTTTGTCTTTGAGTTTAAGCCATTTATGTTAATGGATAAGACTTTCACCTCTTTTTCCATAGCTCTAATTATATCTGGTTCTTTGTCTCCTGATTGCTCTTATTTCCCTTTGCATTATGTTCGTTGATTTAAGGTCTTCTCTTTCTTGTTTCTAGTTAGTTTTTCTTATTTCTTGTCTTTCTTCTTTATTTTTTGATTGGTCTTGTTCTTCTTGAGAGTTTGAGTCTAGATCTTCTTTGCCACTTTGATCTTCCGAGCCCACTAATTGCTCGTACAATTCTTGCACCTTTTCTAGAGTATCGATTTTAATCTTCTTTTCTTCCCAAGAGACCAACATTCCTTCTGGGATCAACCAACGAAATAGAATGTCTTGCTTATTTAACTGTGTAGCCAATAATTTGTAATCCCTTCTCTGCTCCCTTACCCTTCTAGGGATTTATTTGAGGATCTAGATCTCCTTTCCTTTGTATACTATAGCTTCTTCTCTAGATATCTTATAAATTATGTCCCTAACTTTCCTCCTCATTAATCGAATATGGACCTCTTTTGGAAGTTTGTTTCTCCTTGCATAACTCGTGCTGACCCTGTATACATCGTCCATTTCCTTTAGCATTTCCTCCTTGTCTCTATTTAGAGCTTTGGCTAAAATTTCTGCCATCACTAGCTCTAGGTCCTCGTCCTTAGTTTCCAGTATATTTTGAAATCTAAGGTACGACACAGCTTTGTCCATTTTGATATAGAGCAGGGAATCCTCCCTCTCTTTACTCACTGTTTTTATTTGTTGGTCTAACTTGTTTCTAACTTTTTCTCCATTTGTTCCGTTCTTTTCATTACTTCCTTGATTGTGTGTTCATTTCTTTCCAATGCTTGTTGAATTGACTCTACCTTTTCATCAAATTTAGATATATCTGATCTCATTTCTGTTTTTAACTTTCCCGTTTCTTCCTTCAGTTCATTAATATCCGCTCTTGTTTCTGAGTGATTCTTTACCATCATTTCTTGAAGTTTGGCCATTGATTCTTGTAGTGCAAGTAACGAGGTTTGAATGTTAACATTTGAAGTGGTGTTTTGTTCCTCCGCCATTAGTGTTTCTTCTATCGTTTTTTGTATCCTCGGTGAAGCTGTTGTTGTTGAGGGTGTTGGAATTGATATGGTCTTCTTTCCTGTCTTGCTCATTGTGGTAGTTATAGTAGACATTTCTTCTAATATCTCTCTCTGATTATTAAGAATGTTATAAACATTATCCCAAATTGGCATTAAACAATTTAAAATTATTTTTCTTAAGGTTTAACTGTTAATGAGATATGGTACTTGTTAAGAGCTTTTATAATGTTATGTTCTTATTTAAAGTCTCACTAATCCCAATTCTATTCTATATTTGCAAGATAAATATCTAGGTGAAAAATCAATATATCTAATTGTATAGATATCAATATAAAACTCTTTTTAGATATAAATACATATGCATCAATATAAGTATAATTTACAGTTTAAGTTGTGAAAATAAGTATTATGATAAACATCAGAACATCTAAATTCTATATTAATATAAATACAAAATATAAAGAGAAGAGTTTAATTAAGCTATAAAATATCAATATATAACTGTAAGTATAAATTACCTAGAACTTTCAATCATTAAATAAATATACAGGGTTAATTATTTATCTTGATTAATTTATAAAATAAATTAAGTAATAGTAGTTCCTAATTGATTACACTAAACTCTGCTTAAATTAATTATAGTTTAAGTCTAAATCTAGAGTATATATATTATAATATATCTGAATTTAAATACCAATTAGTTTTATACTTAATAATTAATAATTTCCAGCAAGTGTTCCGGTTATTGTATCCAATAGAAGGGAAAGAAGAAGAATAGTAGCTCCAACTTAATTCCACTAAACTCTGATTAAGCTAATTATAATTTAAATCTGAATCTAAAGTATAAATGTTGTATTATATCTGAGTTTAAGTACCAATTGATTGTATAATTAATAATTTCCAGGAAGCATTCCAGTTATTGTATCCAGTAGAAGGGAAAGAAAAAGAGAAAATAATCACCCAATGTTCAATTAGCAGATTCACCAGTTCAAAAATTTTAAGGTTCAAAAGGAGTAAAAATTATCAATTTATCCAATTCTTCTTAGTACTTCAGTCTCTCAAAATTTTCCCACAATTCCGTCTTCTATGTTGTACTATCAGATTGCTGAGTAATGCTGTTCACTATAGACGTTCTCCACTTCTGTTACTTCAGCTGTTTCTCAAAGTCTGTCAATCCTCAGCAAAGAGCAATTTTCACAGCCAAGTAACTTGTGTAAAACACTCACTTTTACAGTTTTTCAACAGTTAGAATTTCCAAAGGTTTCCAAAGTTTAAAACTTAGTATTCAGAAGGTATCCTGGATAACTATATTGATCTATTCTGTTCGTTGAAGTGTCCTGCCTCCCCGGCTGTCTATTGTTCCCAGTCACTCTCCGCTCATTCTCACCTCCGCTTTCTCACTGCCTTCTCAGGTTACAATAGATCTCTCTTCTCCAATACAGCACGAACCTCCTTTCTTTTTAATCTTCTATAATGCAAATTCTTTGCACTATCCTCTCCTTGTTCTTCACCACAGGCTGTCATTCGATCTTGCTTCCCCTTTTTGCTGGCTGTTAGGACTTCGGAGCCGCCATCCTGTGTATGCTAGCCTCTGCTGGGCTCAACAGGGTTTCTCTCTGTCACGCTGATGATCGCGTATCGCCAGACTGCTCCTCGAGTATCCCCACTCCAACACACTTCCCTTCAGGCTTCGTGTATCCCTTTGGGATCTCTCCAGCACCAGAAAAGAGGGGTGAAGAACAGAGCTAGCTCTTCAGCCCTTCTGGGTGTCCCAACATGACCACTGGAAGTCAAGAAATTTCTCTTAAGGAAACATTCTACAAGCATCTCATTAAATATAACCTATAATATAGGTTGGCTGGGAACTAGTCTACACAGCTTAAAGTTTCCCGAGGTTGAGAAACAGTTATAATTTGTGGCACTAACACTAGCTGAGTTTGGATGACTCAGGAAGCTAAATGGGGTCAGGTATGGTTAGTACTTGAGACAATCACTATGAAGTTCTAGAGCAGCAACCAATGTTGAGAAATCTAAAATTATGCTGAAGAAGACCCAAGCAAACCATTTCTATGTTAGACTAAGAAAATACTTGTATGATGTGAAAATGTCAATTGCTGACCACTGCTCAAAAATAATTCTATAATTTTGTTATCTAATGCGGATAGTATGATATAAAAAAACAAATACAATATATGTGTTTATTTATTACATCTGTGATATATGTGATGTAATCTGTAAATCATACAGTAAAGCTAAAGGCTGACATAAATGAATTTGCTTTTCATAGGAATTCCTTCCTCTGAAGAACTGATCACAATTTATTCTCGCTTCAGGGATACCTGTACTTCTCCATATAATCTTAATTTTTTCCTTGCTCTTTCATATTTTAAATTGGCTTCAATAAGCCAGGTAACGTATATAATCTACACCTTATCTTTTAATGTTTAATGGAGCATATAGAATGCATTTTTGTAAATCCTTTTACTCATAACAACATTAGTAATGGCATTCCAGATTTTATATTTTACTTGAAGAAGAGAAACTGTTTATGTAATATTAAATATTATGCTATTGGTGAGTCCCTACAAGTGATTATTACTGTGCCTTAAATAGATTTTTAGAACCAACGAAATGTAGTGATGAAGGTGTCAAAATAGGAGGTGAGACTGTAGTTTAATTTTCTACTTGATCACATTGCTCTAAAGATATCCGTGAGAGACCTGTCATCTTTTAACCCAAAATAATTAACAAATTATTGGAAGAAATAAATAAAAAGAGGCATCAATTTTCTCTGTATAGGGATAGCATACAATATCATTTATTGTTTTTCATAAACAACATAATACTACCGGTACAGTAAATGAAAATTACAGTAACTTTAAATTTAATGAATCCTATGTTGCATAGTTTTACAGTTTCACAGAAATTTAATAGTTTTTTATGCTATATTTTGTAATTTATAGTTACTGTGTATATCGTGTATAGGAATGTACTATTGTTATTTCTGACAATCATTTGATGGGTTATATGTTTTTTTAACATATTGATCAAAGATTAAAATAATACAGATCTTGAATAATAATTAAACATTCCTCTGTCATATATTGTTAAAATGCTCAGCTATTTGTTAAATGTCTCATATTGAAATTACTTATTCTTTAGGGCATATATGCCAGATATCTCCTGGGTAATTCCTCTGCAGAAAACAGTTTGGAGTTCAGCAGTGTAGTGAGACCTCTGGCTGAAGTTGGATTACTGGTAGCAAAAAAGTAAGAATTGATTGTTGAAAGAGTTATAAAGATGCAACCATGTCACCTATATCTCAAACAGGTTGCACAAAGTTTTCTTTTCTTGATTGCTATTTGATGCTGCGCTCCCTATCTCTTTAATAAATTTACAAGAGCGGTATGTATCTATGGTAGATATAACAGATTTGAACTGCAGAAATATAGGTAGTATTAACTGGCAGGAGATATATCAATTTTTCTCTGCGTCTTTCTGAGATGCATGCTTGCCCTTTCTTTAACACTCTTGTAGGACACATTGATATATCAATGTATTGATTGATTAGATTTTTATTATTTTTACAAATAATCAAGGGAGCCAACATACCTAATATTCCTTCCTAGTTATATGTTGCTTTCTTCTAGAATAACTTTCAACACTGGCTCACCTCTTTGCAATTCTGGAGAATTATTCCAGCAGTCCACAGAGGGGAAGAAAATCCTTCAGAAAATGAAAGATTTCATGAAAAAGCACATTTTTCCAGCTGAAAAAGTAAGTTGTATCATGAACAGTTACCAAAGTAGGACCAAATCAACATCATCTTGCACCTTGCAAACTTCCTGGAAGTGCCATTTAATTTATCACAATGCCAAGAGTACTCATGTGATCTACTTTGCAGATATCAATCCTCTAACTAAGGCAGTGACAGAGACCAGTTCTCTGTCTTCATAACTATATAGGTCAAGTATACAGATAAGAAAACACTTAAGTCCTAACTCTAATTTGAAATACCTTTTTTTAATTCTATGAGATCCAAGGTCTAGCGCAGGGCTGTTAAACTCCGATCTGGCCCACGGGGTGCTTAAATCTGGACCGTGGAGCCAGCCTGGAAATATCAAAGGCCCGGGATGCCTCTGCTGGCCAAAAATGGATTGCAGGGGCCCTGTGAGACCTCCGCACAGCCCATTTTTGGTCTTTCCAGCCTCCAGCAGCAGTCTGCCAGCCAAAAACGGGCCACATGGAGGCCTCACAAGGCCTCTGCATAGCCCATTTTCAGCCTCCATGGCTTTCAGCAGTACTCTGTTGGCCGAAAATGGGCTTTATAGAGGCCCTATGTGACCTCTGCACAGCCTGTTTTTGGCTGGAAGAGTGCTGCAGGAGGCGTCCATCCTGTCTCCCTTCCCCTGCTCCCCACCCCCCTCACCAGCCCATGGAGGAGACGTACAATGCTGATCCGGCCCTCAAAGAAATCTAGTTTGACACTCCTGGTCTAGCAGGAGATTAATCAATACTTTCAATTACAGCCTTCAGATGGGGTGGCATGCTAATGATTATTTGTAAATTATTTTATATATACCCTCTAGGAAATAGTTGAGTATTACGCCAGAAAGAAAAATTCACCAGATATATGGAGAAAACCTGGTGTCATGGAGATACTCAAGGTACATTTCTTTTTATGTCCATAGTATACTGTAAAAGAAAGATCTTAGTAAAAGTAAAAGTTACCCTCACACATACATGCTAGTCATTTCTGGCTCTAGGGGGCAGTGCTCATCTCCGTTACAAAGCTGAAGAGCCAGCGCTATCCGAAGACATCTCCGTGGTCATGTGGCCAACATGACTAAACGCTGTACCTTCCCACCAAAGTGGTCCCTATTTTTCTACTTGCATTTTTACATGCTTTTGAACTGCTAGGTTGGCAGAAGCTGGGACAAGTAACGGGAGCTCACTCCGTTACACTGTGCTAGGTATTCGAACCGCCGAACTGCCGACCTTTCTGATTAACAAGCTCAGAGTCTTAGTCACTGAGCCACCATGTCCCTAAAAGAAAGATCTTATATGATGCCAATGAGTATCAGTGCAAATATAATTTAAAACTTAATTTATAGTTTTTAATCCAGTGAAAGTTATACCTTACAGAGTGAATGGAATTTATGAGTTTAATCCACAAGAGAGCCATTTTGGCATAATGGTTTGAGGCACCAGCTAGAAACCAGAAAACCATGAGTTTTAGTCTTGCCTTAGAAAAAAAACCAGTTGGGTGACCTTGGGCCAGTCCCTGTTTCTCAGTCCTAGGAAGGAGGCAATGGCAAGCCACTTTAAAAATCTTGCCAAGAAAAACTGCAGGGATTGCCAGAAGTCAACACTGACTTGAAGGTAGAGTTTATCTTTATTTTGTATATGTATACAATATAGTTCAAATAAAATGATAAATTTGTTTTAAAATACTTTAATTCCAGTAATTTCAGCTATAAACAAACTAAAACTATGTTTCACTCTCCTTTACTCTTATATTTGAGGCTGACATGGTACTAAAACATCCTGATCTGGTTTCTATGTCACATTAAGCCATAAGATAGTTCAATTTAAACATAGTTAATTATGTGCAGACAGTAAATAAGACATTGTAACTTTTAAACTATGGTTTATATTAGCACATTGTGTTAATATTGCAAAGGCCTTCCTAGCGTATTTAGAATGAGATTGTCATTCCTGTCATTCAATCAGATAGGACCTGTTTTTTTGTTGTATGAAATTAGTGACATTATCCTTAAATATATATGTAGAAACATCCAAGCAAATTGTGATTTTATTAAATTATAGTTCCCCTTGTCTCATTTGAAAATGATCTAAGATAGCTAATTATATGAATTTACATTATATCATAGTTTAATATGTAGTAAGAATTATTCCAAAACATTATTCTTTCAAAAAATGCAACAGCTTTTTTTTTCAGGAAAGCTTAGAAATCATAGACATTGAAAATTTAATAAGCCCATGAAGCAGAGGTGGTATTCAGCAGGTTCTGATCGGTTCTGGAGAACCAGTAGTGGAAAATTTGAGTAGTTCAGAGAACCGGCAAATACCACTTCTTTTTTTTTTTTTTTTTACAAATTTTATTGATTTTTAAAGACATACAAAACATAGATACACAGAAACACAAAACATAAAAGCATAAAAAATCTCTTTTCTGAAAGTTGCTTAGTCCCGGGTTAAAACTCTTGATACAGACACAAATTCAAATTCATATTCATTTTATATACCATTCCATATCTTGTTAGCATTTTCAATTTTCTATATAACTTCTCCTCTCTTTTAAATTTTCTCAATTTTGTTTTATTTATCTCCTCTCAATTCGAATCATAATATTTATTATTCTTTGTCTGTTCTATTTCCAGCTATCCATTTATTTTTCTTCTTTGAAAAAAAACTTCTGTACACTAAATGGAGTATGATGCCTTTATCTCTTTCCCCTATATTTATAATACTTAATATAAAACACATAACTTACATTGGGATTCTGTCTGGTACGTTCTAAAATTATACAGTATTATCAAAACCAATACAAATCTATTCATTAATATTGATATTCATTTATGTCTTAAACATTTAACACATTATTTTTCAGTTAAATCACATATTTTTATGGGAGCACCTATTTTCCATAGTTATTTCCCCCCCACGTCACATATTATAAATCATTATTTCATTACAATGTTCCCCTTTCTCCTACTTCAAATCTCTCATTTCACAAAAAGTTTCACTAGAATAACATAGTCTAATCATTAATATTATCAATCATTTATATCTTAAACATTTTACCCATTTCAGTTAAATATCATGCCTTTGTGGGAACACTTATGCTTTCCAAAATTATTTTCCCCCCCACATCACATATCTTAAATCATTATTCCATTACAGTACTCCCCTTCTCTTAACAAAATTTTCACTAGATTATACTAAATATTTTATCGCATTTTAAATTACATATTATTTCTAATTTTCTATGGTTATTTCTAAATACAAATATAGAAATGCAATCTTATGTACCTTTCTAGAATCCCTTTTTCAATAAATTATCCATTATCTCTAAAAAACTTTTTCTTCTTTACAACTTGCTCCCCACTATTAAGGCTTCTCATCTCTTCCTTTCTCCCTTGCTTCTTCTTCTCCTTGTCCTCTTTACCCCCTTGTCTCTCCACCTCCCTTTTATTCTGCTTTCCCCCTTTCTGTTGTTTCCTAACATAATGTCCCCTTTTCACCTTATTCTTCTCTTCTTGGGTTGCTTTTCCAGATCTTAAAGTCTTCTTTTCCTTTTTCTCCTTCTTTTTCCCTTTTCCGACCAAAGTTATTTGTTCATCAAAGATGGCTTCTTCTTTGTCCCCATCATCCTGTTGCTCATTCAGCTTTACATAAGTACAAACTGCCATTTCTAAAAATTGAAAAAGAGTGCCAAGGACATCTTTCCCTTCTTGCTTTTCTTTTTCATATTTTTGGTATACAAGTTTCAGTCCATCCACAAGTGATGCCATTGTGCAGAGAAAAAGTTTTCCCAAACAACCACCCGAGTGCTTTTAATCAGAAATAATTCTCAGAAGTTCCAAAATCACCAAACAATCCAAACAGGTTGTTTCTTTTAAATACTCTCTCCTTCTTCACTTTCTCTTTCTGGGGTTAAAGTTTAGTCAAAAAATTCCCTTTAAAATATCTCTTTTAGAAGTCTTATTGGTGTTTAGTAACTCTTTAAAAATCTAGGCAATTTTCTCCTTATTTTCAAATGCTCCAATTTTTTTTCCCCTCTCCCTTCCCACTCACAGCCAAGAAGATTTTTTCCATCTGCTGTCACGTTAGGAAGGAGAGTGAAATGAAAGAAAAAAAAACTTTCCCTTTTAGAATGTTCGCAGCTCGTAACTCTTACTAGGAACAATGTATCCTTAGCAGCTTTCGAGATTCAGGGCACTTTCTCTTGCCTTGTCCCAGTTGAAAGCAACTTTCATTACTCTTCCAGCTTTCTCCCTCCTGCACCTGCTTGTCCGGCTGTAGATTTCTTCGTGGCGGCCATTACTGACCGCCGCTCATCCGTCTTGGGAAAAGGGGGGTTTTGCCAGCTGGGGAGGGGGTCTGCGACGCCCCCAAACCCCTTTCTGGATCCCCCCCTGTCTTCAGCTGCCTCTACGGGGCAGCTATATCCCCCAGATCCAAACGGATCGGGGGAACCTTGACGGCGAACGCAGCAAGGATCGCGCAGTATCACGAATCCCTGCCGCTGCCGAAACCTGCAAACCGCACCACTTCTGACTGGAGATTTTACAGTATCTTTCCCCTGCCACACCCATCAAGCCATGCCCACAGACCTGGTAATAAAAAAAATTGAATTCCATCACTGCTATGAAGAATAGAGATTTATACAAAGGTATCTGGATAAGATTAATATACATTTTATTTGATTTATATTTCATCTTTTATATTTCAAATTTCAGTTACAATTTGAAAGTGACAATAATTTTTTATATAAAATGCACGTGCATAAATTAAGATTTAGAAAAAAATAAATTTAAAATTGAGTCAGTAAAAGCAGAAATATAAGGAATCCATTTCAAAATTTTGTTTTTTTGCCATTTTTATTTGTTCATGCTAAAAAGCCTGCATGAAAAAAAATATTTTTATTCATTTCTCATGTATATTCTTAAATACATTTTAATGTAGGAACTGCAAAATCTGGAAAATTGTGAAAAATCAGGGGGTGGAATTCATGAACTTGTATTCATCCTGTGTAAATTAGAAAAGTGTAGGTGAATACTGAGAAAGTGAATTTTTTTCCTATTTGTTTACCAATAAAAATATGTTGGAGAATCGTAATTCTTGTGGCTACCTGGGGCCAGAGAGCAAGAGAACTGGATGTGTCTATGGCACTAACTCCATTGTTTTCATTGCTCCATCAACGACAGCTTGTGGCCTTAGGCCATCATATGTCCCTAAGGACATTTCTTTATATGAATCTAAATGTAAATGAACATGCCCCAGTTATCTCTACTTACTGCTATGTCCCTACGGTGTTGTTTTTATCTCATCTCCAGTCCACTCCTGAACAGTCTTTTGGTTCTTCCAGGTGTAAAATGCTCTGCTTAAAAAAGGAGTCATGGCAGCTTTATTGTGTATTCCAGTTGATGTGTTTCATTGTTTCTGTTGGTGATGCGGTCCGGTTCTAGAAAGAGCACTAAATCAATGATCAAAACTAATGTTAAAATAGTTGGTAGATGCATTCTAGCAATAATGATCGCCCCTTGCAATCCCACCCACACTTTTCACTTATTTTCTGGCTGTTTTTGAAACATCATTCAGTAGTTTAGAAAAGAAGTTAGCCCCATAGGAAAGTTGTGTGATGCCTCAGGTATTAGCAGAATTTTTTTATATGGTAGTTTTGTGATGTAATTTATCTTCTGTATTCCTGTTTCAGTTAAAATTAAATAGGCCTATTGTTGAGTTATTTGCAGTGGTGGGATTCAGCCATTTCTCACCAGTTCACAAGAACTGGTAGCTAACTATTTGTGCAGTTCGGCGAACTGGCTGAATCTCACCCCTTCACTCCCAGCCAGTGAATGGCCAAGAGGCCAGTCTGGGTGAAGAATCAGTCCCAAGCTGGCCTTTTTCCTTTCCTTTTCCCGGCCTGACTTAGGCTTTGGCCCAAAGCGCCCGGCTCTCTTTAACGGAAAGAATGTTGGCAGCAGCATGCTCCGTGGAAGGCGCCTGTCACTCCTTTTGGATGCAAAAAGAGCAGCATCCACTAAGGCAGCCGCAGCAGTGGGTGAGAAAATGCAGGGATGCTGCCAGGAATGAAGATGCTCAAATTTGCATCTGTCCAGGCAAGCTTTGCTTGGCAATGAGGTTCCACCGGAAAAGAGAAAGAGAGGAGATCTGGTAGGCGATGCCTTTGCTGCCCCAGCCTCCCCAGCGCTTTCTGCTACTGCCTTTACCTGGAACAAAAGGGGAAGGAGCTGCATGGACCTGTAGAGAGGAGAAGGGCGGGGAAGGGCATTCCAGCTATTTGCATCGAGGCTCATTTTCAAAGCATTCGAAGCTTCATCTCTTGGATTCTCAGGCCCTAGTGCTGCAGTGGAAATCAGGCAGGAGAGTGGGAATTCTTCATCCATTCATTCATGCACACAGGGGGTGTGTTCCCACAATGGATTTAACTAGGGTAGAATAAAGAGCCATCCAGGGAAAGGCTTAGTGCATTCTCTTCCCCTCAACCCCTTGCAAGGGCTTTTAGAACCCCTTTAAACTAAGAGTGATTTTTGAAGGTTGCCGATGCACTTTCCTTACTGTTTTGAACTGTAAGAGGTATGAAAAGTGCAAATGCTAAAATAAGCCTATTGCGATTAACACAACAAAGTGACGAATTATGTGGCAGATTCGTTCATGCAACGTATTTGTTTTGATTAGGCTTTTCTAGGGCATAGGGTGCTGTGCAAACCCATTTTGTTGATGTACAGTGTTGATCAGTATATTATGCAAATCCAGAAAACATATTAATTCAGAAAGCAGCCTAAATGTGAATCAGGCATAGTGTGTGTGCTGCAAGCACCATTGCTTTAATTGCTATCAAATTCAAATATACTTTTGAGTAAAGCTGGCTGTTGTTTGAGTCAGCAGGTGCAGCCATGTCACTATCTTGCAGTCTTCCAAGATGTTTTTCAACTTCAGAGGCTTACCAGCCCCCTGCTTGTCTTTTGATGTCTTCCATCCAAGTATTAACCAGACCTGACCCTGCTTAGCTTGTGCACACAGAGAAAGTCAGCCAAGTAGGGCTACTTTCTCAGACAAAAAGAAGGTTATAAGGAGGAAAACGATGCACAGTGGCAGAAATGCAGTGGAACACAAAAATAATCTAAAAATAAATAAAAAATGACAGCAAGAACCCACATGCTCTGAGCAAGAATAAATATATAATACACCAACTTTTTATGTGTTTAAATAATATATAGAAAAATGTAACATGGTAAAAAAATATTTACCATATTATTAGACCCTCTCCTGATTGACCATGTTTTATGGAATCAGATTGAAATATATCATTTTTTATATCAAGTTAATTTATTTTACATGTCATGTATACCAGACTGTATTCCCCAAATACTTTATATCTTTAAAAAAACCTGTACTTTTTATTCTTATAACATCCCATTCATTTTACTGGATGGACTTTTTAATGCATTGGGTTCAATAATGATTCTAATGGGGTCCTCCCACTATAGGCATTCTGTTCATTTAGTGACTGTTTGAAGTTACTACACTGAAAAAAATGACTTACGGACATTGCAGCATTCCCATATCATATGATCAAAATTAAGAGGGAGGCCAGGTAAGGGGCAGAGGGGAGCGAACCACCCAGCAAAGAAATACTGGGCGAGGCAAGCCGCCCCTCGATGTGAGTGATGTCAAGTTGGCCACACCCACTCAGTCACATGACCACTCAGCCACGCCTACCCAGCCAGTCATTAGAACAGAGAACTAGTTGTTCAATTATTTGAATCCCACTACTGCTTACTTTGCATCAGTTTTTCTCTTTTCATCAGGAAAAGGCCAAAGCAGAAGGTCTCTGGAACCTTTTCCTGCCAGCTGTTAGTGGTCTTAATCAATTGGACTATGCACTAATAGCAGAAGAGACTGGGAAGTGCTTCTTTGCTCCTGAAGTAATCAATTGTCATGCACCAGGTGAGGGACTATTTAACTAGCTTGTCAGAATTATATTGTATGCTGGATAAAATAGGAAGGGTGTTCAATGTTTATTCTGTTTTCTAGACACAGGGAATATGGAGGTTCTATACTTGCATGGGACAGAAGAACAGAAGAAACAATGGCTGGAACCTCTTCTGGAAGGAAAAATTAATTCTTGTTTTTGCATGACAGGTAATGTTTCATATTTTAGACATGAAAATGTTCATTTGTAGTAGAGAGAAAATTTCATTTTAAAAATTTTGGGTTGAATTCTGCATGTTAGAAATTCTTCAGTTTTACTAAAATTAATGTAAGGGAATTTAGCCAGAACTAATTTGCTCTATAAATATCAGCAACTCTGAATATAGCACTGTATTTCTATAATTTCCAATAGTAAAACAGAATTAACTTCCAACTCTAAAATGCACTCTCAGCTAATTATTACCATGTATTAGGAGACTGGATAATTCTTTTTTTTTTTTTTACTTCCCTTCACCCCATCTGGTATAGAGATAGTTTTCCAGGTGTAATGCAAAGTACTGGTCACTGCTTAAAAATACTATATAACTTGGGGCCCGAGTATCAATCTTTACAACCATCTTTTCCCAAGTGTTCCCACAGATCCTACTCAGGTGACTAGGGAAACTTGTTAAGAGACACTATTTATCAAATGGGATGAAAAGACATTCTCTGTCATAGCTTTGTTCCTGAGGAGTAGCTGTCAGGCTACAGAACTTTTCCCATTCAATCAACTAGAATGAACTTCTGAAAACATATCAAAACGTATCAAAAGGAATCCTTTATTGCGATGAGACAATTCATGTAGGGATTAAAAGCAGCATCTAAGGTCTCTCAGGCATGCAGAGATAGATAAGGGAGTCTAAAACTCCTCCCCTTATCTTGATGTGTATTTAGTAAAACAAACAGCAACATATTAATTCCCCCAACCCCCTTTTTAGAAAGATCTTTTTCAGAGTTTCCCAGAACACATCTCACTGTGGAATTTTTATGGTCTCTTCATCTCCTAGCTATCTCTCTCAGAGGTGATAGGCTCCGGCCATCTGGGTTTCATCCCTCCATTGTATCATGTGTAGGTTATACAAATTTGATATAAGATTAAATATATTCAGGTTACATCAAGAAGGATTTCTTTATCAGTCTCCCTTCCTTTTTCTTCTTTCATTGAAGAAATGACAGATGCACGGATCTGACATCCTGCCCTCCTTAAAAAACAGATAGGTCTACCTGGAAAAAACAAAAATTATGTGTTATATTTGCAATTTAGGATGGTTTATCAGGGTATTTTAGGTGGAAGTTTTGTAGTAATGTGGGTGCTTTTATGTGTCGTTTGGCTACCCACTCATTTTCTGAGGAAGGAAGGTGTTTCTAAGCTACTAAATATTGTGTGGATCCACGGTGAGTGCACGAATCAAGGATATCTTTAATTTCAAAATGTACCATGATGGGAGTTGGAGGTGTTGGAAGGTGGGGTCTGAGGTTTGAAGTGATCTCCAGTTTGAGCAAGCTACAGTGAAATAGTGGATGAATCTGCCTAAGTGTTTTGGGAAGTCGAAGCTCTACCATCACGGGATGAATAATTCTGGAGATAAGGAATGGGCCAATGAATTTTGGTCCCAGTTTCTTAGAGGGTTGTAATGATTTTAAGATTTTTGTAGACAAATATACATGGTCTCCAATCTTGAAAGGTTTAGGATCGCAGCGTTTTTTGTCTGCTTGAGCTTTAATAACTGCTCTAGCTTCCTGTAAAGATAATCTTACCATTGGCCACATGGCTTGTAAATTATTGATCCACTCCTTAAGGGAGGGGATTTTAGGTTCTTTGGTGGGTAGTTGCGGCATGGGGTTGAATTCTTGGTCTGTGGCTACCTGGAATGGAGTGAACCCCGTGCTGCTCCAATTGTCCTGTTGGTAATTAATAAAGCATCTTAAATATTGTTCTAATACGCTGTTGATCCATCCATCTGGGGGTGACTTGATGACAACAACCCCTGGGTGGAGCCTAATATGTTTAAAAACGCCCACCAAAATTTGGATGTGAATTGAACACCCCTATCTGAGATAATCCGTTGGGGAGCTCCATGAAGGGGATAAATGTGTATTAGAAACATCTTTGCTAATGCCTTGGCAGTTGGGATCTTTTGGCATGGAATAAAGTGAACCTATTTGGAAAAAAGATCAGTTGCAACCCAAATGACAGTATTTCCAGCACTTTCGGGAAGCTCCACTATAAAGTCCATAGAGATCTCTTTCCAGGGTGCAGAAGGGTCTGCTACTGTCTGTAAAAGTCCAGGATATTTTCCTTGTCTTCTCGTTGCAGCAGCACAGGTGGGGCAGCTCGCAACATAGTTTTTAATGTCCTTTTTGAGAGACGGCCACCAAAATTGTCTTTTGATGAGGTGCAAGGTTTTTACATTCTCTGGCTTTCAGGGACATAGTTTGTTTTCTACCCAGGCTAGTCCAACTTTGAGTAAGCAAGTGTTTTTGTTAGCCTGGAGCCAGTCATCCTTAAGTAGTGCCTCCTTAAATATTGACATCATTGTGTCTTCAGTCAGTGAAGATTTTTTTTCCTCTTGTGCCTGGGTGATTACTTTGCTGCTAGTTGGGTCGGTTGGATCATTTGTTTTATAACCTCAATCTTTCTGCTGTTGTATTGGGGTTTTCTGGACAGTGCATCTGCTAAGAAGTTCTTTCTCCCAGGAAAATATATGAGAGTGAAATTAAACTGTTTAAAATATTGAGCACACCTTGCTTGTTTTTTGGAGAGTTTCCGTGGATTTCTCAGGGCTTCCAGATTTTTGTGATCAGTCCATACTTCAAAGGGGATTTGGTTTCCTTCCAGGAAATGTCTCCATGTGAGCATTGCCCACTGCACAGCATATGCCTCTTTCTCCCATATGGACCATCTTTGCTCGGTTTCTGTCAGTTTCTTGGATGTATAAGCACATGGTTGTAATTGTCCACTTCCATTCTTTTGGAGGAGGACTGCTCCAACTGCAACATCACTAGTGTCTGCTTGGATGACAAAAGGTTGTTCAGGATCTGGGTGCTTAAGGACCGGTTCTGCTGAGGATAGATGTTTGAGTTTTTTGAATGCCACTTGGCATTCCATTGTCCAGATAAGGGGTTGCCTTGGTTTGGGTATCTCCCCCCCCCTTTCGTTTTTAGCAAGTTCATGATAGGAAGGGCGATGTTTGTAAAAGCTGGAATGAACTGGCGATAAAAGTTTGCAAAACCCAAGAAGCTTTGCAGTTGCTTGCGTGTATAAGGTGTGTCCCAGTCCAGTACAGCTTTTACTTTTTGTGGGTCCATCTCTATTCCCTCGTGGGATATTCTATACCCCAAGTAGTCAATTTTTTCCTGGTGAAATTCGCATTTAGAGAGTTTTGCATATAGTTTAGTGTCTAAGAGTTTTGTGAGGACTGCACAGTGTAGCTTAATGTGTTCTTCCATTGTTTCCATGTAGATTAAAATATCAAGATACGCTAGAACCCCTGTCGGGCTTCAAAAAGTCTATTGGTTTATCTCCTGGAGTGAATCCCGACACATTATCTTGGTTGGGGAATGAACATCCGATCTTGCCATTTACAATATATTAATTTGATCGGAAAACGTCTCCTACTTTTGAAGATCCCATCCCAGTTCAACCTAGCTCATATCAGCACGAACATGCGACAATGATGGGGTGGGAGAAGGTTTATCACTCCAACTCCTCTCATTACCAGAAACGAAACACAAACAATCATTGGGGAAGTTACGGCACAACTCGAGAATTGAAATCACATTCTGTTTGGTAATTAGTTGCGTTTAGAATTGCGGGGTGGAGGTGTGTAGGACTAATGGGGAGGGCGGATGTTAGTTAGCTGCATAGGGTGGGGCTGCATGATAAATTGCACTGAGTGACGAATGATCTCAGCGCTGACTTTATCCAGTATAACCGTTGTTGCCGTGTTTGAAGGAGAACGAGCAAAAATAAACATATCTATTCACAACAAATCCTGTGAGTAATATAGTTTATTGCTAGAATTCCTACGTGTACAAACGAGGGCTAAGAGAAAGTCAGCGCTCACGTTTATTCTCAAACAAACAAACCTTCTTCACTGTGGATAATGGCAGAAGGCATAGATCCCGAATGGACGGTGGAGGAAGGCGTAGAAGTGGCTGAAGAGAATGGTGGAGAGGGCAATGGAAAACAGACGGGGGAAATGGAGAGAGAGTACGTGCCATTGACAGTACCACCTGTAGTAAAACCTAAAACAACTAAGGTGCGATTAAGTGACCCAGACCCTGGCTTAAAAGAGGGAAAGGGGAAAGAATATAGGCAAAGGGAACATCCAGTGGATTGGAAAGTGAAACGTTGGTCTGGGTCCGATGAAAGTCAATGGGCATTTCCAGGAAGTGACACATTAGAAATATTCAGGATACAATTTGGAGAGGTGACTTTAAAAGGAACAAAGGAGAGGGGGACCTTGATTCAGAAACAAGTATTACATTCTGAAAAGGACCCTTTATATGCATCCAGTCCATTAGGGTTTCAGGAGTCTGAAGTCGGAAGTGGATTGGACAGATCGGACTTACGTTCTGGGAGAATGGAGGATAGAAACATAGGGGAAGATGGATATTCCATGAGACCTCGGTCAGTAGAACCACGGGACCTGGATTATGGAGCACGTTGGGGAGGTCAAGTACCAGGGAGGTGGGGGCCCCCTCCTCTAACAACCACGTTTGATGGGAACACAAATAAAGTGGCTATTTTCTTAAGCCAAGTATTAAACCATTTTGATTTATACTCCCATTGTTACCACTCAAATTGGTCAATGGTAGTGGCCGTTACTGGAGTGTTAGTGGGAGAAGCATACGAATGGGCATCGGATCTATATTGCCATAGGGCGGAGGAGTTGGGGGATATAGGACGATTTTTGGATGCATTAAGAAATTTGAAGATACATCTGCAGATAAGAAAGCAGAAGAGGATTTGTTAATGATAAAACAAAAAGGGAAAACAGCACGGGAATATGTAAATGATTTTTGACGAGTGGCTAGTAAACTCCCGTCATTACCGGAGAGTTTATTAATTCATATATTTAAAGAAGGGATGGACCCTAAATTACATCAGGCTTGTTTATATAGAGGTTCGTATGCTACATTGGTATCATGTGGTGATTGAATTAGAT